TTCCTGGGGCCTGGAGACCCCACCCCTGCCGCACCCCCAGACCTCACACAGGGTGACTCATTTCTTCACTCAGGGCCGAGAACAGGGCTCACAGCAAGGCGAGCGTCTGGTGAGGCAGCTCGGTGCCTTCCAGGACTTGAGCTGAGAGCCTGACCCGTGACAGCCACCCGACTGCCAGCTCTCTCTTCACGGCCACTGTCCCTCAGCAGACCACATGTTCCCGCCTGTCAGATGAGTCAGAATTTACGGCTTCTCGGTGTCAGGAGCGACGCTCACGATGCTACCAGGCGGCCTGCTGAGGCTGTCACTTCCCTGCCGTGGATCAGGTGCACCTCACGCTCCGAGCGGCCCGCAATGGGACTGCAGGTGAAGGGCTGTTTGAGGGTCCGGTGGGACCGCAAACCAGCTCCTGAGACGACCTCATCCCACGTGGCGGGACAGCACCGTGGCAAATGGCAGTGCCTCCGCACACCGGACACTCCCTGTCAGAGCCCGTACACGGGCGACAGCCCCGTGAGGGGGTTCCTATCATCGTACCCATCTCGCAGATGCAGACGGTGAGGCAGACGAATTCCCTAGCGTGTCTAAGGCCCCACGGCTGGTGCGCGCAGGCCCGGGGCCTGGACGCGGCCGACCGGCCCCGTGGCCCTGCGCTCTGCCGCACCGCGGGCCGTCTTTGCCCCTCGCCGGGAGTCAGAGCACCCCTTCCCAGATGGGCAGCGTGGAGGAGGAGAAGCGCCTCCTCGGAGCTCCCCGGGGGCGGTGCCGGAGCTCCGCCCAGCTTCTTCAGGGGCAAAGCGCGGGACGGAGCCCGGTGAGCAGGGAGCGAGGCCCAGGACCCCTCGGCCACCCGACACCCAGGCTCCTGCCTCTGCGAGGACAGCGTGGCTCCTTCCCCCCAGTCTGGAGCATCTTCTTTCTGTCTCTTTGTTGCTTCATTGCACTGACCGGGGCCGTGCGCCGTTGAGCAGCAGTGGTGAGGGGGGGTGTCCTTGCCTCGTGCCCCGTTTTACAGGAGTGCATTCTCGGTCTTTCTGTTAAAAATCCATGTCAGCTGTGGGTTCCTTATAGGTGCCCCTTTTGAGAATCCTTCAGAAACCTAATTACTTCTGTATTTTTTAAAACAGCAGGACCTTTATTCCTAACTTTCTTATTTATGACAGTACTTATTACTAGCCAAACATGATTTTTTCAGGACGCATCAGGGTGGGAGGAGAAAACGGGGAAGAGCATTTTGAAGCGGGTGGGGCGTGGGACTCGGGGGCAGCGGAGAAGCCCCAGGCCGCTGCAGGGTTCTAGGGGGAGGTCAGAACACAGTGGTGCCCTGGAGACCAGCCTGGGGCTCTCGGTCTGTGGGACAGCACTTGGGGCATCAGCTCTTCGGTGCAGTCAGTGAGAAGACAGCCAGCAGATCTGCCGACAGCCACAAGGCACCCTGCAAAGCTTCACCGTGGGAGTGACCGAACCTGGGTCCGAACGCGGCACTGCTGGTCTCAGCCCTGCGAGACGTGCTCCGTCCTGGGGCCGGAGTAAGCCACGCGAGGGTCACGACAGCACCTGGCCCAGGTGCGTGCTGCATGAAATGCAGTGCCAGACCCTCCCGGAAGCGCACCTGCTCCCGAGCTTGCACTTGGCCTCTCCCCTCAATTCCTGCGTCAGCTGCCGCTGGCCTTATCTCGCCGTGGCCGGGGTTCCTTTGGTTACGCAAGCATTGCCCAGGAAGCGCCCTGAATGCTCAGGGGTGAAGCTCGGCTGCGCTATTTACTGGGGTCTCCCTTGGGTGCCAGTAGAAAGCCGCTCAGAGCACAGTCAGCACGGCACGAATGACGCGAAGGCAGGCTTTATGGTTTCGGGCACTTCTGGGCCATGAAGTGACAATAACTTATATTTTAGAGAAGTAAAATCAGTCAGGTGTTTTTAAGGGAGAGGATTTCCCCTCCCCCCTTCGGCTCTCTCTTTGCCCTCAAACGAATGGGCAGAACCAGCCTGGACAGTGGTGCCCCGGCTGCCGTGTGCGAAACTGCTGTCTTTGAACTGCACTGTGATCGCTCACCGGTGTCTTTTTTCATGCCTCCAGGAATGGGACAGTGACAAAGCGCTCCTAGGCGGACGCGGAGCCATTCTCCAGTGTTTCATGGGAATCCCGATTTGGCTGCCTGCGCTAAGAGTCCCTTATTTCACACAGCAAAAAAAGTCAACATGTTCATGAGCCTAACGTGAGTATGGCAGCTGGAAGGGCTGGTCTGATCCTCCCAAGCGGACCCCCCATGTCCCCGGCACAGAAAACTGGGAGGTGGCAGCAGGGTCTGCTCCACCGGCTTAAAGCACCCCTGGGACCCCAGCCTTAGTCCCTCCTGCATTAAAGAGGTGATGACATCTGTCTGAGTGTCAACGCTTCGAATGACAGCTAGATTTAAGAAAGGGTGGACCTTTAGGAGAAGGAATAATAACCCAGGTGAGGGAAAATAACTCCCCACAACTGTGTTGATACTCAGTAGCTATTTCTCCAAGGGCGACACGCGAACAGCTAGTTCATCGCGCAGACCGTTCCGTTCCTTATTCGCTCGATTATTTACACGAGCAAGGCAGACGCCACGGGCAGGTCGTCTGGTGGGCCTCTCCCAGCACCTGACGTTCTGGAAATCCTCGTCGGCGCTGCGGGCAGGGCGTCTGGAAAGCGGAAGCTGACTTCACGAGGGGGTGGAAGATCTGCCCCTTTTAGAGAGACAGCCGCGACAATCCACACATGTTCAGCCTTACAGCGAGTGAGCCACAGCTCGGTCGTGTAAAACGTTCACACGTTCACGTTCACGTGTCTTTTTACCTCTGGCACTTTGATGAACAACGAGCACCTCACTGCATGGGGGGGGCGGGGGCGGGGTCAGCAAGCTGCTCAAGTCCAGCAACTACTTCCTGATCAGTGGGACCCACACCTACAGCGACACAGGCTCCGTCAAGGCCCGATAAGCGCACTGCCTGCGCATCGTCTCTGAGCGGCCTTCTGTGAGAGGGGGCGCGGAGCACACGTGCCTGAGTGCGCTGAGTCTCCCCGGGAAACTGGGGATGCAGCTCCTCAGCAATCAGAGCAGTAGGTCTGTGACAAGACGGGACAGATCCTAGGTCCCGCTCACTGCTGGTGACGACAGACTTTCCCAAGCAGATTCTCGACACAAAAGGCTCTATGTGTGAGAATTCCTTGCTGTGGTGACACCTCACCTGGAAGCCCTGGGCCCTGCTGGACCATCTGGGGACCAGTGTCCCAGATGTGACCCCAGGAACAGGCCACAGGGAACCCCCCGTGGTCTGAGGGCAGGGACCTCACAGGCAGGGAGAGGCTGGGGGAAGCCACAGCCCGCAGAAGAAAACAAAATTCTCAACGATTCGTGAAATGGCTCTGATTTGATGAAGTCACTGCAGGGCGTTTGACCTGATCGGAATGCTCACCTGACGTCCACACCGGCCGCCTTGTTCAGCAAGGCCTCGGAATGAGTCCTTCCCTGACGTGCCCCTTCTAAATACCGTGCAGGGCCACAGCGTGATCCACACTGAGAAGGAAAGATACCCTGCCAAGCGGAGGGAGGCGGCCCGGGAAGGCCGTGAAACAGGACGGTGGCAGACTGCGATGTGGGAGGTGTCGGACAGAGGGAGGACACAGCCAGCACACGGCGTGGAGACAGGCAGGGGCCTACTACGGGCAGGAGGGAGACAAAGGAGCGCTGTGTGTCTGGAGGTCGGTGGTGCGGGCTAGAAGAATGGCAGGAGAGATCAAGTATTGTCAATGATACTTACTAGCACGTATATCATTTACTGTGCGTCAAACAGTCACGGTTCAGGAATATTAATAAGCTCCTCTC